AACTTACACTTCCAATCGACAAGCGAAGCTGCTGAGATCTATCTGGAGGCAGCAGTGTCCATGCGATGGCAGAAGCACTTGTCCCTGGACTTCTGCGAGTGTGAATCGCGTTATTGGTATAGCACGTGTGCGTTCTCACAGTTCTCACAGTTCTCACGCACCGCCCCCCCCCCCCCCCCCCCCCCCCCAAATAGTATTCCTCCCGACCAGTTGGGGGGGTGTGGGGGGTGTGGGGGGTGTGGGGGGTGGGGTTAGTGTTGGGGTTAGTGTGGGGGTAGTGTGGGGGGGGTCAGTGGAGGGGGTGGTGGGGGGGGGGGGGGGTAGTTGTGGGGGGTAGTAGTGGGGGGTAGCAGTGGGGGATCGCAGTGGGGGGTCGTAGTGGGGGTAGTAGTGGGGGGTCGTAGTGGGGGGTAGTAGTGGTTCTGGCAGTGGAAGGATATATTCGCGGGACTCCTTGCGGAATTTTGTGGGGGCACGCCAGATGCTCTCTGCGGGATTCTGTTTTTCGGGCGCTCCAGGGGATCGTCGGTGAGACTCCCTGCGCACTTTTCTTGGGGTGGCGCTTTAGGGGATACTCGGCGGGACTCATGTGGGCACTCTGAGGGTGCTATCCTTTTTGGGGGTGGGGTCTGCCGGGATACTCGGCAAAGCTCTTTGCTCCCGGGATGCTCGGCGGGACTCCCTGCGTCATCATGTTTGCCGGGGTGCTGTTATAGCAGCATGATGAGCTTGGACGGCGTGGCTATGGCTTTCTGCCGTATATACAATGCTCGAAACCTTCCCCCAAGTGCTTCATCCTAAGAGAACAGAGGATCCTCGACTCCTCGAGGAACCCTCAGCCCTGCATTGCACAGGCGATGCGCATGGCGGGCAAGAAGTCCTTCAGCGACGTCTTCAACAATGAACACCGAGTAGCAGTGAAGGGGTACGCGAAGCTTGGCAGATCTTGTCTTGTATTTAGGGTTTAGGGTTTAGGGTTTTGGGTTTAGGGTGCCAGGACTTCTTGTAGCCGTCGCATTCTGAGACACATTTGAGAGTGTCCAGCAGAAGCGAGGTGTCCATCTCCCTTCCGCATTTTTCGGGCAGGGTATGGCTCGCAAACACGTCGTTCCCTGGGCAAAGCCGAAATCTGCAAACACCGTGAAGCCATAAATCAACATTCCTGGCCTTCAGATGGTCACATATAATTTTTCGGCACACTCAACTTGTCCAGAAAGCAGAAGCGTCACAAACCCAAGCCCAGCCCCAGACAACAGTAAACTCCCGAAAAGAAAACTACCCCCCCCCCGGCAACCGAACTCCTTCTTAGTATCATTAATTACAGTCACAATTTTCCATAATAATAAGAGGGGCTTTAATGAACACACCCTCACTCTCCCATCCTGGCTGCTACCTTCGCGACTCAACCGATTATATTCATGAATCCAGCTCAAGGGTCCGGTACGAAGAACTAGTCGGTGTCTTTTTCCCCTTAATCAGAAGAATAATACGGGGCAAGAAGCGTATTAGCAATATGGGCCCTGTAATAATCTGTCAATTAAGGGCCCTTTCATGCTGTGTTGAAAGCCCCTCGAAGAGACATATTTTTAAAGGGCTTTTACCTACAGCATTGAAGGGGGAAAAGTACACGAAAAGAAAAATACATTCGTGTGTCTCTTCGTTCGTTACAGTTAAGTATTAAACTTACACTGTTTTTTAATATTTTTATATCGCCAATGAAACGACCCATTCTGGGGCGTTAACATGCTGTACGCAATGAGGGCCTAATTCATGCGCCCAATGCCCCTATAATATAGGCCCTTTTTCGCTGCTGTCACCGCTGGATCCAGGATATCATCATTAGCATGAAGGTACCGCATGAAGGAGAGACTGTGATGAGAGGTGAAGGGCTCATCGAAAGAGCTGTCAAGAGGGTCATTCAGGTACTAACTGGGTGGGTGAATATTCGTATGCATGAGCCTGCGAAGGGGACACGTCAATGGCACTTTTTCCTTTACCCTTTTTTCCAATATTCTTTGGTGTTTTTATTGTCAAAAGAGTTCTTGGACGTCTCTTTTCCAACATCACAAAAGCACCAATTGTAAAATACAACTAGGTTTTTGAGTAATACAACTTCATTACCAATCAAATCTCTGATTCTTGTGCCAAATAGGGGTTCTTGTGCGCTCTTCAAAGTGAATTATGAAAATGCAATACAGTATGTGAAAAAATTTTAAAAGGGTCCTTTAAGCTAATGAATTTCATACAGAAGTTCTCTTAATACACAAGTTCTCTTAATTAATCATACCATTCCCCTCACTCGTTCTCTTATTGGCTAAACTTATGCGTGAAGGAAATTCTGTGATGCTATTAACATCTATAAACTTTCTAAGCTTTTAAATGGAAAATGCATACTACTACAGGCAAGAGCAACAACAGCGCCTCGTTTGGGCACCACATGGCACCCACAGCCCGCAGGCCCGTTTCGGACTTTTAGGAAAGGCTGCCCTGGTCACCGAGAGGTTGAGCCGTTTTCAAAGTGCTTTCAAACGAAAACGCCCCGCATCCGAAGCATCCGAAGCAGTGCTCTGGTCCGGGAGGAGGCACCTAGGTTTACATTTGTTCCTGGTTCTTAGCTCATCAGGTTTTCCGAAAACATCCGAAATACTTCTCACGTCTCTTGGCCTCAGGCACTATTGAAATGTATTTTAGCGGGGGCCACATCCCCCCACGTCACGTCCCATACCTGCCGTGCACTTATTGAGTGACAGCAGAACTCCGGAAACTGAGATAAGCTGAGAAGAAAGCGGTGTCTGACATGCTGCAAAACACCATGATTCCCGAGGAGCAAGCTGGCCCTGGCCTCCGGAGTCGTGCCGGGAGATGGCGCTCGCTTTGCGCACGCGTCGTCGCTGGAGAGCGCGGCAAGCGAGCTGAAGGCCTCAGTGTTGGGAGTGTTGGGGGAATGTGAATGTGGTTGGGGGTGCTGGGCAGAGGGTCCCCCAAAGTCGTCGCAGGACATGCTTTTCGGCGACTGCGAGGACGGCCGCGTCCAATGTGGCTCGGCAATGACATTGCGGAAGGCGGAAGGATTTAAGAAGGTCGTTCATGTTGGTCTTTCTGACATTTTCTGACCAAAACGCTGTGCTTCAAAAGCCGAAAGCCGCTTCTTCCTGTCATCCTGTCGCCTGGTTGCCACCGGATCGCGCCTTTGTGTCATTTTGTGTTGTGCTTGCCTCGCTGAAAATCCCGATGTCCTGGCATCTCGTGCGCCTGGCTGAGGCTGGAATCCCGATGGCCAGACAGACTTCCTCATTCAGCATGCTTCCACCCCAGTTTTTAGATGCGTTACCAAGCCCTGCGACCGTACTATTCGTGAGATGTGGACTGGATGCCAGGTGAGGGATTCGGGATGTATGGCAGAGGACGGGAGATGGGCGAAGGCTTGACGCGAAGCGGGGCATGAGCCATCCCCCTGCCAGGGCATCAAGTGGGAGCCTCTCAGCATGGACGGCCAAGCCAAGACCGCATCAACTTTGTACGAGTGCCAAACCAGATGCAAGAGCGTCCGCAGCTCGGAAAGGGGATGCTTGTGAGGCCATGTGAGGCCTTGTGGAGCGTAGGAGGCCGACAGAGCCCAAGGTGGCGGGTTGTCGCCATTTCTCGTGGTGGGCGGGTAAAGGTTACGACTTCGCTGGGAACTGTTACCTTCAGGACCTGCTTTCTGGCAGCATGTGCAGAACTCATCGGAACTCAAGACATTGCTGAGCCTGCTGCTGCAGCGCCAGGATGCAAATGCGAAGGCCGTGTCCACCGTTCCGAGGATGTTTTCTGGTCCACCCGACTGCAAGGCGCTTGGGGTGCGGTACGGGCACCACTACAGTCAGAGACCTGTTCCCATGCAATTGCCGAGCCTCCATCCAGTGCCAGGGGTTGAACGTTCTTGGCTATTGCACGAAGAGGAGCGATGCATGCACCTCGTCGGCAGAAAAGGAAGGTTGCGGGTGTAGGGTTCTGTGGGACGAGTTGGCGCCAGATGTGCCAGCATTGACTGCACCCGGCGCCAACTCTTTTTGTCCCGGACGGCTGCGTCCCTGAGCACGCCCGCACCCCACAGCAAATAGGAACTGCAGGAAAAACGAAGTTGAGGCGAAGCTGCGAAACCAAAAACTCATATCAAAGCCCATTAGAATCCCTGAGTCTCCCAAGAATCCGCACATGCCGCACGATCCAACTGCAATCCGGTTCTCGAAACTTGCACGAAGCCACCTTTTCATGGGGCCTTTTGGCCTTTTGGCCTTTTGGCCTTAAACGCCACAAAAGCGCGCCAGCGGAAGGCGCCTTGTTAAGCCCTGAGAGGGAGCGTTTGTGAGGCAACAAGTCCGCTGTGTATCAGGCATGCAGCGCCAGAAAGCTGGAGCAGGCTTGGTTCTCCAGGAGATTGGGAAATGGCATGTAATGGCATGTGGAAGCTTGAGCACATTTGAGCACATTTGAGCACGTTGGTGGCAGAAGAGGTCGCTATTCAGAGTGCTGAGACGGAGAGCACGGGCTGGGTCCAAATCTCTTTCAGGAGCTTGCGGCGACCCACTTTGCCAGCCTCGCCGATATGATCAGCATGATGCCCGAGCCCACACTCACTGAGGAGGTGGGAGCGGCAGGAGTGCGGACACATTTTTCTGTCGTGCTTGTGAAACTTTCCCGACTTTGTGCCTCAAGTTGTACTCTGATTGGCTCCAGCATGCACTCGCATCCAGCAGCGTTATTGTTGATCTGTCTCACGTTTCTGTCCTGCTAGGTGTTGATCGATACGTTCCACGCGGTGGGTTGCCCCAACCCGGCTCCCGACACCAGAAGCTGGAAAGCATCGGCGGATGCTCTTGCGGACATGTTCCTTCTGTGTGAGAAGCGTGCTGGCTGCACCCTTTCAAAGGGGTTAGCTTGCGCTTGATTCATGCGGAGGTAGTTCTCTTTTGTTGCGATGCGTCAATCATTCACATTGAAAGTCACATGCGTCTCAGGAATGCGAAGGGGCAGGCCACCCAAGCGGAAGCCGAGCAGTGTTGTGCCGTCGCCCCGTGCAGACCAAAACCCAACTGCAAGCGGTTGAGCAAGTTCTATGACAGCAACGCGGATGCCAAGCGGCTGCTGTTGGAGAAGCACGGTAGGATCCTGGCGAGCTACAAGTCGGTCTTGATGACCAGCAAGTACCAATACCTTGCCGACAGGCTCTCCAAGTTGGTGTGTGAACTTTCCGCCGACGAAACTACTGCAACCTGCAAAGATAACGTGGAGATCGGGTACGAGATCGCCAAATTTCCCGTAGAGAGCGCTATGAAATCCGTTCCGAAATCACAATGGGGAGTTGCTGGAATGAAGCTCGCAATGGCTAACTCGTTCCAATCAGTCCGCGTGGTGCGCAAGCGGCTCACCCAACAAGTGCCTCGGCTTTGATTGTGCCCCAATCTGTGACAGGTGTCAGAGAGTCCCTGAGCCTCGTTTAGGTCATGAAGCAATTTCGGCGTGGCGACAGCCTCCTCTCTGGGAAGGTGGCCGCGCACTTGGAATGCACGGGACCAGTGATTCGAGCAACATGCGTCCCTACCTGGAGGTCCGTGCAAGGTAGTGACCGGTTGTGACTGGTAGTGCAGTGCGGTGTGCTTGTGTTGGCAGATGCTCGTTACAACGCGCGCGCGCCACAACGCGCACTTGTCGTAGCATGTTGCAGCTGGCAACCGCAAAGTCAGGTCTTGGCAGATGAAACCATGGCATTTGCCACGGATGGCTGGAATCGCAGCACAAGCTAGATGATGTGATGGTGAATGTCCATGGATCTCCACCATCCCATACCTTGTACCAAGGAGCCACAAGTCTTTCGTTGCAAGGAAGTCCCTCAAGGTGACGAGCACACAATCAGGCCAGGGCTGTCTCGCATTCGTCAGTCTGGAGGCGCAAGGTCAGAGGGCTCGGTGGGCCCCGTGGCTTTGGGGCTCTTTAGACTTGCGAGCTGCCCGCTTGGCTGCTGATTCTTCGAAGCTGGCAGGCTCCTTTTGTTTCGAGAGCGAGGACGCGAAGAAGTTCTTCAGCGAGGGCGTGGGATGGGGTGGGGAGGAGTATGCCGGGAAGCTCTTTGAGGTCGTCACCTCCACCGGCGCCTCGGCAACCTGCTGGAAGCAGCACCTAGCTCTGTGTGTGTGTGTGTGTGTAATCCGAAGGGACGCCCATGATCTGGGTCAGTAGAAGGTCGACGATGCATCTCAACGCGAGTGAATTGCTTTGGACCAAGCCAGGACGGCAAGGCGTTGTGGAGATGGAGGCGGGAGGCGAATGCGGCGCCTGGAAGGAGATTGGCAAACATGACTATAACACGCCAGGCACTCAGAGCTTCCTGAGAGCCTCCTAAGCGCCAGTCCAAGCCCCGCCGATGTTGCCGAGGCTCTGGCTTGACAATGTGCCCAGCCAAGAGTGGAGCGTGGGTGACCATGTCTACTTCCCAGAGGACCGCGCGGCAGATGCCAGCTCGGGTTTTCTGCAACGTGAAAAGCAAGTCGGAGCCGGGTCAGAAACCGCTCTTGGGGCAGGACCTCTACCATGTCAGCGCTCGGAGTGGCAGCACCACGGACCTCCCGAGCATGCCTTGCTCCATGTTGCTTCTAGAATGCTCAACTTTCGAATGCCGCCGAACAATCTTGGTTCAACCGTCACGCAAGTCCCCCCCAGAAGAAAGCAGGAGCCTTTGACGCGAAGCTTCTACAGTCCCTTGGGAGCACAACAGGAGTTGGAGTTGTCTTGGAGAGCTATGCCCCGGGGGAACCCGAAAGGTTGCAGCAACACGACGTGGGGAGGTCGGGGTTAAATATCATGTGCTGATGGAGAGTCCCCCTAAGGAATCAAGTTAGGAACAGGGTAGGAGGTGCTTATCATTTCTAATTATGTGCTTGCCTTTGCTGTACACGTACCGCAGGGCCCGTGAGTGAAGCAACGTTGCACGCGGCAGAGTCTGCTTCCAGTGAGTGCGAAAGTGGGTAGCGGAGAAGGCAGTCCCCTTTAAAGGGCTATTTGTCCGGGGTTCCTGCCCCAGGGTACCAGGGTTTGCTTTTTCGTCGCTGCCGCGAATTAAGCTTTGGGCATCTTTTGTGGTGTCTAAGCATGAAATATGTTTGGATAGGTCAGAATAAGTTCAGCTGAAAAAGTCCTCGGGAGTTCTCTCCGTTCGCAGGGGAAGTTCGGACAGAAGCCAGAAGAGAGCGCAATCACTGGCGAGCCCCCAAAGGTTCACACGAATTGTGATTAGCAACCAAGAGTTTCATCAAAACCTGTTCCGGTGCTTTCCACTAGTTATCGTCTTTCCGCCATCTGACACTTCTTGACAAAGTTGTGCGCGCCCGAGGCCCGGTCAGCGGCCAGGGCCGCATCTCCTTCCTCTCCCGGAAAACCGCAGATATGCCTGCGACCACCTCCGCCAAGATCAATGGGAAGGTTGTTCAAGCCACTGTGGTGATGGAGAACGTGGAAGACGAGGATGAATTTCCAGTGTCGCTGGTCTTCGAGGCCCAAGCCGGCCAGCAGGAGGTGGGAGATTGGAAGCCCAAATCCGTTGGTCAGGAGCTGGGTTTCTTGCTTTGTTTCATGCCCTACCAAGAACCACGAACTAGCTGTCTGTTTCTTAAATGATGCCGACGCTTCTCAGGCATTCTTAGGCTGCGCGGGGTTTGGGAAAGACCCTGATCAGGTAGTCTTTGAGAACGCGAACTTCCGATCCTTCTACTTCGAAGTTGGGAGGCCCGACTCCTCAGAGCAGCAGCTGCCCCTCGAGGCGCCAGTGCAACTCTAGGTGCAGGCGCTTTGGTGGTGCATTTCCAACAGCAGCGTCGAAATGGGGCAACCTAGAAAAATTTCTGGGGACATTGGGCACTCCAGGCTGAGCACTCCGGGGATTCTCTGGTGATGCTCTGCACTCTGGGGTTGGGCGCTGCAGGGTTTTGCGGGATGCTCTGAAGCCTGGACACTCCATTTTCCGGGCATACTCTGGGTTTTTCCCACTTCACAAATTCTTTGGGGATACTTTGGGGTTGGGCATTCCAGAAATGCTCTGATGTTGCACTCGGGGCTGGGCACTCCAGGATTCTGTGGGCATTCTTGCTCTGGGGCGGGATACGGGTGATGGGTGAGGAGTAGACCGGCCGTGCACTGGGTAGTCAACGGCAGGTCTCACACTTGCCTGTTCGGTCTCCTTCTCCAGCAAACTGCAGCTGTAGCTTTCGTTCCTGCCGTCCGCCACAAGTTCAAAACATCATACGCTTCCACTTTTGTCGAGCTTGCCGCTGACTCGAATTCGGCTGTTCTTTGGTTTGTTTGATGTGTTTGAATTGGCAGACGTTGCTCGATTTGGCTGTTGTGGGTGTGGTAGAGGATTGGGAATGACATGCTTCTTGGGGCTCCAGCATTTTGGCCTTTGGACACTTGGGGGCCATGGCAAAGGGTCATATGAGAGCGGAGTAGGGAAGGACAGATCCTTTCTTTGCGGTGCACCACGGATTGAGTCAATTGAATCATGCGACAGAAGGAGAGAGAGCCTTGTTTTCGGGGAAGCATCTGCTCTGCGCTTGTGCACGCCGTGGCTAGCACTGGAGCGCTTCGGGTGTGGTGCAGTCAAACCGCAAGATTCGGAGATCTGCGTATGAACCCGGATGTTTTCTTGCAAGGTAATGCAAAGTACAAGGGCTTAGGAAACCTTGCAACGACAAACGCAACAGAGTCTCTGCTGCAGGCTGCGTGCATGGCGAAGGACCCGGGCTCGAAATTCATGCGCAGTCAACGGTCTGACGGTAGCCCGCTACAGCCGCAGCGTGGCGTGACCTTCATCTTGAGGAAAAGTCTTGGACACCTACTCATATGGACGGCCAAAAGCGCACCGTCGGAACCTGGCAAGAGTGCCAGCAAAGGTGCATTCAGGTCCGCGACTCGACCTTGGGGTCTTCAGACGTGGCATGTTAGCCACCTCATGCCACCTCATGAGACACGGCGCTTCCTGTTGTGTTCTTCATCGGGAGCGGAGGGCGGCTCATATAGCCTTGTTATGCTTTGTTGAGAGGTTTCCGGTTGCCGTCATTTCAGTTGGTGGGAAGATGGCGGCTGTGCCATTCAGGACCGGACAGCAGTGTTCACATGTTCTCCAGTGGATGTTGAGAAACCCTGAGAAACCCTTGAAGCCTGCTGTTGTCGACTTGCGTGAAGATGCGCCAGGATGAACATGCGACGGAGAAGAGCGGCCAAGCACATGGGGTCATATCCGGACCACCCACCTGCAGCGCAGGCTATCTGCATCAGAATTGCGTTGCCAAAGGCACGTACCACACCTGCATGAACAGAGGGCTGGAGATTGACTTGAACGTCCGGGCCTCAAGGGAGGTGCAGTACAGGTGCAGTAAGGGTGCAGCGTGGGAGAGGCTCTTAATAAGAGTCTCAATAAATCCGTTCTCTCACGTTTTTGCCGGATGCTTCGAAGGTGCGCGACAACTTCGTGATCAAGTTCTACATGCGGATGCCGAAGCGCGCACACACCGCTGCCAGTTTTGGCTTCTACTACGACGGCTACCGTTACTACCGCAATTACATGCAGTCGCACTTTCTGCTGGATGCCACCCGCGGCCAGTTCTGGCAAGGGCCGATAGTCACCGGAAAAGTTTGGAACCGTGGTGAAGCTGGTAGAGGGGCTGAGACGTGGAAGCCGGGCCATTGGCACAAGTGGGAGGTGGCCCTGTCGTACGGCGTGCTGCTGATCCTCATGGACGGCGAAGTGGTGGCCCAGCAGGAGCTGACGACTCCGGAAATCCACCACTTTCAACTTCGGCCATGGCGCAATGCGATGGACGTGGCCGGGCTCTCCGTCGACTACGCCGTTTCGACCATGAAGGTGAGGGCCATCAGCGACGACACTTGGCCAGAACCTTTCCGCATCATGTAGGTCCCACCTTCCTGCTCCTCCTGCTTCTGCTTCTGCTTATGCTGCTGCGCCCGAGGCCTGGCGCGGAAGTGATGCAGGAAAGTACTTCGTCGTGGACAGGCAGGACATCGCGGTCGAGTTTGAGAGTGGCACAACCTTTCTGGAGACTCGGCGGATGGCACGTCATGGCACGCCGGTACGTTGAATGTACGAATTCTTTGCTTGTCCCGCTTCCGAACTTGGACTTGCGAAAGCCAAGGCTATGCAGTGCCGCGGAGGGGCTACCATCTGGCGCGGCCGGGTGAAGATGTGGAACTCTTTGCAAGACCTCGCTTCTTGGCTGTTGGCCGCTTCTTCATGCTGGGGTTCCTCTGCTTTCTGTTTGTCGGGTCCCTGCTGGCAGAGCTGCTCTGGGCTCGACTGGGCTCAGGGCGAAACCGCGAGAAAACCAATGTCTTAAGATATCAGCCGAGGATTGGATGAAGAAGGTCACCATGCCCATCCACGGCCGCAAGGATCCCTGGGATCAGGTTGAGGAGGGGGACTGGCAGGTCGGTGACTATCTCACCACCGGCATCGTTTGCCCCAAGGATTAGGGCGACCAGCGGCCTGTGCAGTTTCTTGCTTGCTGCTTTACCTGTCGCAGATGCCGGATGGCAACCTGTCAAGTTCCACTGTGCTGCCGAGCAAAAGCGAGTAAGAGGTTAAGAGTTGTGTTCTATAGAGTTCTATAAGAGTTCTATAAGAGTTCTATAAGAGTTCTTGATCTCTTGCCTTGGCTCTCGGCCCCAATTGTTGCAGCTTGAACACGAGAACTTGCTGCCGTCGATTTGCCCAAAAAAGCACGCAGGGTACTTAAGTGGAGAGGGCAGGGAATCGCAGCGGATGGGAATGGGGAGAGCTAGGTCAGCGTTTCTTCAGAAGACGTTTGCGTTAAGCAAGCGGAGTTTTTTGGGAGGCTTGGCGTGCTGAGGTTTCGGTTGGTGTTTGCAGGGAGTGGGGTCTGTGTGGGCTTCGGTGAGATGCGGGCCCTGTCAGCAAGAGCTCTGAATCTTTGTTCTACTCCGATTCAAGAGACTGAAATTATGGTGCTCATGCTGATGCACATGGACCATGTCCTCGCGAATCCTTCTCCTTCACCATATCGCATATTCAATGCATCGGCCTGTCAAGAGCAGGCCTAAAGCAGCGCATGCTCTCTCTTCGGCAGCAGCCCTCAGCAGTCCAGATAAGACAGAGAGGGCCGAAGTGTCCCAAAACATTCAACCCAGTCGCAGGGAATGCAAATTGGGCTTAGGGGTTCGGGGTGTGTTCGACACCTCTGGGAGGCAAAGCTCCTTAGCCAAGACAGAGTTTGCTGAGGCCAGTCTACAGCAGGCCTGGTGCCAACGTTGATTTCTACCTGCTTCCAACGTGTCTTCACAGGCTCAAGTAGCCGCTCCGTCTATTGTAGATGCCTGGGAAGTGCTCGTAGCAATTTTTTTGCGGGATGCTTCCCTGGCTTCCCTCCTTATGCAGCAATTTGTTCGTCTGGGTTCTCATCCAGGCAACTCTTTCGCTGGTCCAACCAGCAAGCGGCTTTAAATTTCCACAGGCGGAGCACAGCGTGAACGCCGTGAATGCCAGCAGCTCGTCCCTTCTTGGCGAAGCACACGCAGCACACGTAGCCGTCACTCACAGTGGGAGAAGCCGCAGCGTGGCAGAGGAGTGCAGCAGCTGCTGCAAAGCCTTTGCGTCCTCAAAGTACGCCAGGGACGAGGAAGTGAAAACAAAGTTCTGGCAGACGCAAGGTTTCAAGAAGTCTCAGAGCAAGGCACCTGCAACCGCGAAGGTGGTGATTGACCACGGTAAGGGTGCTGTGAAGGTTCAGCTCTTGAACTGGGCCACTGGCAGCTTCTCACCCTCCGTCGGCGACCGCGTCGCAGCCCGTGTTCACGCGGATGGCAAGCCAGATGCCCAGTTTTATGCCCAGTTCAGCTCAGCTCCCGCAGTCCTTTGTATGTTTGTGCAGAGGGACTTGCTAAGAGTTGGAGCTCGGATGTGAAACCGGGAACAAACTCCCCGAGGACCTCTGAGAAAGCTTTTCCAGGAACTGTGGAGGCCAGCATCCAGGCATCAGAGAGGGCTCTTGCAGGGCTCCTGCAGCGGTTTTCTGCAGAACTTGACAGCCTCTCCCGTCTCCGAACCCTCCCCAAAAGCTTGCGCATCTCTTGCATCTGGGGATGTGTAAGAAGGTTGGGGTCATTTGCGCGCGCGCGAGGGCCACAGGTGCGGTGCAAGCGAAACTTCCCCCAGCCTTGGGGGATTAACATCCCCCGAAACCCGAAAAAACTGCAACTTGGGGGGCTAGGTGGACGGCAAGCCACGCCTCCGCATCAAGTTTGAGAAGGCGGCCTTCGGGGTGCAGGACATCGCGCTTAAGGGCTCCCCGGGCATTTCAGGGCCTCGCAAGCTCGGGAGCGGACATCTCGCGAGGCACTAGTTGTCCCTTTCTCTCCACATAGGTACCCCTGCTAACATCATCGACATGTCGAGGATGCTTGATCAATGCAAGTCGTTGTTGTATAGATCCGCCCAGAGTCCATCCATACACACACACACACGTGTATATATATATATATATTGTGTATATATATATATATACATATTTTTTTCTGCACTATTACAACCGCGCATCTATGTACATGTGTAAACTAGAATCGATTCAGGCGCATTCTTCACATCCCAACTGCTGTTGTCGATCGGGCATATACTGTGCCAACCAAAAACTTGTCGATGTCGTCGGGTTCGGGGGGTTTTCATGGAGTTTCAATCATATTTTTGAGGCGCAGCCGCCTGAGCGGGAGCTCCGTCATCGATGACTTGATCTCTTGCGTTCTTCTCTGCTTGCGCAGGACCTCGCGCCAGAGTGGGTGCTTCCTGACTTTGCCTCCACAGAGCAAATCGTGCCAGCTGCCTGGGTGCTGACGAAGCCTTCAGCCGCTGGAAAGGCAGGGCGAACAGTGCGAGGTGTTTTTTGCTGGGGATGTTTTAGAGGCTACGCAGACATGTCAACTGGCTGCTTCTGACAATAAGGCTTGTACTGTCGGGGCTATATTAAGGAGACCCCAAATTTTTGGGGAAAGGCCCAAATGTAATGTGCACAATCAAGGGTGCTCCCTCGATTTTGGGCGCCAGAAGCTTCACCCGCGGGCAGGTGGTCGAGCCAGAAGCTCTAAGCGCAATACAAATCCGTGCTCTAAACCCCATGCCGAACCGACCTAAAACGATAAATTCTTGAAGACTGTTATAAGAATGAGGATCTCATGAAGCCCCTGGGTGTTGTAGCATAGCTGCTCGTACCCGGACACACTGGATAGTGCCATGCAGTCGCTACAGAGCATTGCTGGAGCAGGGTGATATCACTGGATGTTGCAGAAGGAAATGTTGAGGACGATGATCACCGATAAGCCCCTAAATCCCTTACTGTTCCCATTGCAGCCCCATGAAGCAAGACTCCATTTAGCTTCTCAGGCATCGACAGCCAAGGGTTTGGGGTTTTAGTTTGTTTTGGCTTTGGCGCCGCTCCATCCTTCGAGGGTCGGGGTTTTTGTTTCGGAGGTTTGCTTCGGCAAGCTTGCTGGGAATTCGAGGGTTTCGGGTTTCCTTGCGGAAAGGCTTTCAACACTGAGCTTGAGCCGTGTGTTAAAGCTGCTGGGGCGCAACGGGCTGTGCAGGCGACCATACACTGCCATACACTGTGTTCTGTACCTCTTGTTTTTGCATCCCCCACATTGAAGTGCTGATGCTAGTAGTGATATATCTACGGTCATGTACCGCGACTGCCGCTACCACCATATCCCGCTATGATACTTCTTCACATTGCTTTGTGTCCTGTCTTCCTGGTGTGATTCCTCATGGCAGGGTTCAGTGGAGGGGCAAAGGCATACAAGAGACTCCACACCCAGCAGAGCACGTCAGCATTTCCAGCCGATATGGTCTTTCAGCTGCTGAAGCTTCCAGGGGAGTGGTCTAGGAGACATCTCGAACATGCACACATCGTCTCTTCTGCCGGTCTGGCATACAGAAGACAAGGTCAAACACCTGATCCCGAGCATCATGTTCTAGTGTCTGCGGACTTTATAGGCTTGTTCCCGCACAGCCCTCAGCAGCAGTGGCTTGCCCGGGTGCCGCCCTCACAGTGGTAGGCCCTTCGTGTTTTGCCGAGACGGTTGGTTATTTGTCCTGTTGCTACGACTGCGACCACTACGCTACCACTACTGAAGGGAAAACTACAATGAAAACTGCAACGAGTACTGTATTTTAGGGCGCAGGCTCAAGCCCAGAGGCTCCTAAATCAGAAAATTAGGCCCCCAAATTTCTGGGTACCCTAAACCCCAAGCCCTAAACCCTAAACCCCTAAGTTTCTTGCTTTTGAACCGACTGCTACTACTCCTTCCTACTTTCTACTCTTCTTCTACGACGACTCTTAGCCAAAACTACTACTACTATGACCGACTACCTGCTGCTAGCTAGAGCAATCAAAACCCTGGATGGCAGGCCAGCAAGTCCGGGTGCGCTACACATCAGACCATGGAGACATGCTACGCCAGCTCTGAGTGCTTCTGGGATCCGCCTTTGGAGGACCCCACATGTTGGACATGAAGAGCTGAGTGAGCCCATGATTTTGAGTTGCCTGTTCACTGACATGGTGGTTTCTCCGAAATTCGGGGGTACCTTCTTGGGGCCCTTCTTCTCAGGGGATCCTACCATCTGGGGGTCAATTTTCGGGGCCCCTATTTTCGTAAACCCCCATGTTGCGTTCGGATCTCTGTGGTGACTTCTGTGGCTTCGCAGGATCGGAAATGCATCTTGGGTGACTGGAGCACCTGGTCTCCCTGCAGCGTGCCACTTTGCCCAAGACCCGTATGCTCAGAGAATCCCGGGATTGCCCAACCCCAGAGTCTTCCCAAACTTCCAAAAAAGTCATCTGGAAGCATGTGTCCGAAAGTAGGGGGCACCTTATTGGGGGTCTTTATTTTCAGGGACTCCTACTCGTGGGGGGCTGTGTATGTTAAGGGTCCCCCTATGTTTCGCAAGCCTTTCACGTGAGCCTCGCCCCGAGGTCTTGCGGTCTGGGAACGCAGCGCCGCATGCGAAGGGCGGCCAGCCAGGCGACCACTCGGGCCTGCCGCATGGCGGCCCAGGCCGCGGTTGGAGCACACAGCTTGGGGGGGGGTTTACGAATGCAAGGGGGAGGAGACCCCCCCTATGTAGACCCCAAATCGTAGGGCTCTCCATAGGGTTCCCTTAGAATGGGGACCCCAGTAAGCTACCCCTAAGATCGTAAACTCACAGCTGGTTTCAAGTTACTCGAGATGGTTCTTATAGTCTTGGTGGCCTGTTTAGGGGCTGCGAGACACGCAAGGACTCCGAACGATTGACTGAAGGTGCCCCGCCTGGAGAATCTGTTTTCAAAGACCCCTCCCGACCCCAACATACCCCTAACATGTCACTGGATCATGGTTAAGCCAGCTTGCACAGTAAATATTACATGAGAGCACCCCCAGCACGCGTGTAAGACACAGAGTCTCTCCTGAGTTTTCTCCAGCCTGGCAAGGCCAAGCAGGTGAACCTGACGCATGAGCGCTTCTGCACCCAAGAGGCTTGTCCAGATCTGGCGCCCATCTGCAACTTGCAGCCGCCCAAGAAGAAGAAGCCCAGTTCAGTCTTGGTCCTACTGGAGGAGGAGGGCCTCGCACTGCGACCCCCCCTCCCCCCCCCCACACACCACATGTGTGTTGCCCTCGCACGAAAGTCTCTGCGAGCCGTCAATATCCTGCCTCCCCAGCCAGGAATCACCCACACCGTTCCCCAGCAAAGGTTGGGCACGGGGCGTAGATGTACTAAATTTCCACACTCGAAGCCATGCAGCTGGTGATGTTGCAGGGCTTCCTAGTTGCTTCGCGCAGATGTCTGTCGATGCTTCCCAGCCTGTGCAGTACTTTCCCTTGTAGAGTGCCTGCGACCGGCACGCACATTATTGCTTAATGACTGTTGGTTACGAATTGCAGTCAAAATTCTACACAAGGCCGCCCCAGTAAGCTAGGCAGCAGCCAGTCCAGCCTCGCGCAGTGACTAAAGATACTTTTCTATGCCAGACCCTAGCCTGGAAATGATCGCCCTTCAACCCCTGAACCCTAAACCCTGAAACCTCAGCCCTAACCCCCAAACCCTAAAAAGCACTAAACCCTAAGCCCTAAGCCCTAAACCCTAAGCCCCAAGCCCCAAGCCCTGAGTTTCACGAGAGGAGGCGGGAGTTCAGCGATCCTCACCACTGGGCCCACCCCCAGCCTTTGCTGTCGGGGCATTGCTTGAGCTCATGGCGAAGCACGGAGTCGCGGATCCGACCTCCGAGTTCGGGGCCATCCCAGGTGCCGAGAAGAGCGGGAATGACAAGCTGGAGGATGACCCGAACTACATCGCAGAGGGTGAGGAGATCAGGTGTAGAGCCCTTTTTTGTTGGCCCCTGAAAGTGTATCCCCCCTTCAAGAAGCCCTGCAGAGAAATAGAGACACAGACAGAGACAGAGATGAGATAGAGATGGCGAGGATGCGACGGTGATCAGCTACATGGAGCCTGGCCAGGATGGACCCCAGTGCCCGGAGGGCTACTACATGTGGCGGATGAACGTCGACGCGGCTTCGAACTCGGCCTACGCCGCCTGCAACAGGCGCTTTTTTTTGGGGACCCTTTTTTGGGGGGGATATCCAAAAAACGCCCACCTTAGCAGGCCCCTAAATCAGGCCCCTGAACTCCCAAGAATGCCCTTCAGCACTTAAGGGTGCCTGAGGCTTCCCACAACACTCCGAACAAACCTTCTCGCACTCTGCCTCCGCTGCAGGTGTGCTCCTGGCTGTGATAACTGCCAGGGGCCACAGCCTGACGACTGCATGGCCTGTCCACTCGACAAGACCTTGCACATCGACATCACGGGAAGGCCGTGAGGGTTCATGCCCATCCTTCAGACCAAGCTTTCATTGCACCTTTCCTTCGATCTCATTTCTGTCAACCTTTTCCGGGACACGCGCGACACGCGCGACACGCGCGACACGCGCGACACGCGCCTGGCAGTCTCAGTCTTCCTATATGATGCTTCATGGTGCATATGGTGCATATGGTGCATATGCTGCACTTTGCACTTTGGGGCCAGTAGGCGCGATATGGCACCTGCCGTGCGGCCAAAACCATGGGGGGGGGGGGGCACGTGTAAGCACCGAGAAGGCTAAGCCGCTGGAGTCGCGACAGGTGGCAAGAGGTGCACTAAGCTGGTTTTTCACCAAAAGAAGTATCGGAGGATGGGGAAGAAAGGGGGGGGAAGTGGGGCCGGGAAAGGGGAGAAAAGGGTAGGGGTTGGGAGGGTCGGAAAATCAAGCTCTTGTTCCGCAAAATGGCAAGGTTCCAAGGAGGGTTCCAAGGAGGGTTCCAAGGAGGCTCAAGGAGGACCCTAAACCCTAAACCCTAAACCCTAAACCCTAAACCCTGAACCCTGAACCCTGAACCCTGAACCCTGAACCCTGAACCCTGAACCCTGAACCCTGAACCCTGAACCCTGAACCCTGAACCCTGAACCCTGAACCCTAAACCCTGAACCCTGAACCCTGAACCCTAAACCCTAAACCCTAAACCCTAAACCCTAAACCCTGCTCTGTGTCTCGATTGGCAGGTCCGTGTGCTTGGATGCTTGCCCCGACTGCTTCTAGTCACTGATGGAATATTTATTTGTTTCTTAGTCTTTCCTGCTTTTATTATTATTATTACTACTATGATCATGATTATTATTCTTAGTAGTAGAATTACTATTATTATTATTATTATTATTATTATGATTATGATTATTATTATTGTTATTATTGTTATGATTATGATTTTTATTGTTATTACTATTCTTGTTATTGTTGTTGTTATTGTTACTGTTATTTTTTTGGTTTTATATGGCTTCTTTTCAGCTTAACGCCGAGACTCCGAGGCTTCGTCATGTCTCCGGATGGTGCCTGCGAGTTTGACGCGTCGTCTGGGCCCTCCTGCTCCCACCAGGCCGCCTTCAATCCCAGCGTCATGCCGGAGGACCGCGGCGATCCCGCCGCCTGCTCGCAGCTCGATGTGATGAAGCCCAGCTCAGGGTCTGTGACAGACTTCCTGAGCATTGCGCAGCACGTCTCGGGTGCGGGAGCCCTCCTTGAGATGTCGCCCACGCTCTGGACCAGCAAGTGGCAAAGCCGACACGAGGCAAGTCAGTCGAGGCAGAAAGCTGCCCGGCGTGCCAAGAGCATGATGCGGACAGCGCGAGGCAAGCTCGCCAACAAGCCGAAGCGCTTTGGCCACCTTAGCCGCCTTGGCCTCCTCGCAACCTCCGGCAGTATGCCCCCCTCGAGCAATTCCTCGTTGAGTGACCTGCTCGCAAAAGGGAAAAACTTCGTTGAAGAAACTGTTGAAGGAGTACAGGACGCCTTGCTCCCGGCAGCTGAAGCGGAAGCGAAGAAATGGTTTGACACTCAGGTGCGGGGGCATTTTTTTATCGGGGTGACGATGTAGAGGGGGCATTCTGAGTAGCATTCTGACTGCTGAGTAGCCGGAACTTAAGAGAGCAGAACGCAAGGAGCGTCGTATGAATGTCGTATGAATGTCGTAACGACCCCCTTTGTGCTTTCGCTGCCTCTTGTTGGTTCGTCAACTTGGGAGCCCCTTGTGAGTTGTGAGCCCTTGTGTGACCACAAAAAAAGCATGCTCTTCGTATAAAGCTGGCGCGCTTTGTGGACCACAATGGACCCGGGCGAACGCACCCTACTCTCAACCCTGAATTTCAGCGGCCCGCAGGTGAGCAACCTGAAGACCGAAGTCAAGGATGAGGCGCCAGTTTAGCTGTTCAGGGTGCAGGGGCTCAGGGTGTTCGGCACTTCTAGCGCCCGAAGCCTGTAGATCATTGCGGACCATGATGAGTGCATGGCCTGTAGCGTCTCTGTAGAGTAAAGTAGGGGTGTGGCGGCCGTCGGGGTCTCGTGGTTGATGCACAAGAACGGGATCAGTGGCCGTGACACTGCAAGATGTTTTTGAGATTGCTGCTGTTTGCGCTAGGTTGCGCGATGCCTGTGGGGGTCTTTTCCGCCGCGTCCCCTCCCCCACCTCCGGTGGCCTGATTCAGAACACTATAATGTATGCGAGCTGCGAGGGTGCTTTGCAGTCAAGCCTTCACTTGTGTGCTCTCAAATTCTTACCTCAAGCTTCCGCTCGACGTGGTGAACATGGGCTTGGGGTTGGCGTGGGAAGATGGCAGGAACGACAGAAATATCTAGGCGGCGAGACTTGCGTTGACAGCCGCTATGTCTTGGAGAAGCCTGTTGGCCAGTGTGTGAGAGCGGATCCCTCCCACAACTCCAAGGTCACAGCATTGAACGGTGTTCAAACCCGGATATTCAGCAAGCAACCCATCAGTCCCCCCAGTTACGCGCTGCTCGCCCCTAAAACTCCCCCTACCCCCCCCCCCCCCCCCCCACAAAAAAAACAAAGAAAGAGAAAACGCCGGCAGAGCCGAGTCTCCAACTCCCCCAAAACCTTCTCCTTATCCCTTCCGCAGGTGCAAGCAAGGTTGACCACAGCCGTGACGAACTTGCTTGAAGACTCTTCCATCGGTCGATCGCTCTTGGACATCATGGGAAGCTTCACGCCAGGCGCCATCCTGGCATGTCGTGAACATGGTCACTCCCCACATCGTTTCACATGGTTCCACCCAACTTTTTCTCTCCAGCAATCGGTAGGAGTTGGGATCTTGCTTAAGGCATAGGTGATTTTGGCAGTCCCGTGATGGAGCCTGTGGCACCGCGCAGTCAATGTCGGTCATCAAGGGCAGCAACGCAGTAGCGGCAGAAGCGGTCAACGATTCTGAAGTAGCATCCTTGCACCATGTTCCTGGGGCATTCTTTTGGGGTTGCCCCATCGTTTAAGCAGCGTTGAGAGGCCAAGACTTGTGCGATCAAGTCGGGTCGATGCTGGCCGACACCACTGAATTGCTGCTGGCGGAGTACCGGGAGGAGCTGGGGCTTTGGGGGAAGCACTCTGAGACTCTACGCCGTTACAACTCCACCATGTAATGGATCCGTAAGTCTGGGCTTCTCGCACGCTCCTGTTGAAATCTCTGTTAAATGGCGACTTTGGCTGCAGTGGCACCTACAGTCGCTCGGACTGCTTGAGCGTTTAGACTTTCGGAGCATCTTCAACGTGTCTCTCGCGCATCGCCAGGGATGGCGTGTTCAAGCCGCCACCGACACGGCTCTCGCCCGCATAGGTACGCGTCCACCTGTGCACACCGCTCAGGAATGCTAAGGATTTGCAGAAGGAGCGAGTTCTGAACGGTGAGTTCCAAACCTAAGGTGTGTGCAGTGGTTTGCTTTGGCGCGGGCTTGCGAATCTGTAAGAATGCAGCGTTGAAAAGAATACACGCGCACGCCACGGCGGGGACCGCGAGATGTTGTCCATTGAGTTGGCTGAGGCCCCGGTCCGAGGCAGGCGCCGCGAGAGCCTGAAAGTGTTTCAACATGCGATGGAAAGAAACAGTTTCTCGTGACAAGCAGCTCCCCCACACACATCGAGGGAGGGCGGGGGGTGGGGGGGGGGCTGGTCAAATTACAGGTCGGTGGAGGGACCCTTCCGTCTCGTCGGAGCTTGTACGCCTCGAGCGGGCGCTTCGGCGTATGGGCGGGTTTCCCTTTGGGCCTTTATGGGGGGCCGCGAGCGGTGCATCGGAGTCATGGCATGGGGCGTAGCGGCGTATCCCCGTAGCAGCATAAGGCGATTTACGACACCATGTCCGACCTCGCCGATATTCTTGATAGTCTATTGGCTGGCGAGGTGCATGTTGTGAATGACCCGTGACCACAAGGAAGTATTCGTCGATAGAGGTCGATAAGGAAGTGATTGCCAATCGTGCCGAACGCATCCCGACTGCTTGTGCGGTGCTCATTGCCAGGGCCTGTAGGGAATCCAGGCGTTCTACAGTTCTACAGTTCTCTCGACAGGAGCTTGATCTCTTGATCGAAGAGTTGGTCATAAAGTTCCGACACTTCATGCAGACAGTGCCTTGGCTACTGAGCGTGCTTTCGGGGTTTAGGGTTTGATGGTTTGAGGGGTTCTGGTCTGAATGATTTCAGGCCCATGCGATTAGGGGGGTTAGTATGCAGGGAGTGCGATTCCAGCTCTGGCATTTTCTTCTACCGCGGCCACTGGCAAGGACTCAGATCCTGAAGCAAGGCCCTTTCATCCTGTGGCTACCTTAAGAGCCTTGCAAGAGCCTTAGGAGCATGGTTCGAAGATTCGAATTCGAAGAGCCCTGCTCAGGGCTTAGGGAATTGTAGGGTTTCGGGTTCTTGGAGCGGGTGGTGTTGACCTCCAAAGCGTGGCAGAAAAGGAGATATCCAAGCTCGAAGACTTGCACGAAGAGGTGGCCAGCAACAAGGAGGTGATCATGGAGGCCATCTCGGGAAGTGGGTGGCTTGAAGAACGCTTGCTGACCACGCGCAAATGCCCTGTCTACAAGTTGCGTGAGTTGACCTTTCGAGTGCACACTCCCCCTGCCGGCGTGGGACTTCGGGATCCCAGTATGCCTTGCAGCATTGTCAGGCTAATTCCTGCTGACGCTCTTGAGCCCAGAAATCCTCCGAGATTGAAGCCGATATCTGGAAAGCCTCCCCACTTTTATTTGAGAGTCTGGGGTGTTGGGGCGGGCCCGGGGGCGGGGACCCCAAACATCCTCAAATTGAAAGAGTCCCGCCTCTGACGGGCGTCCTATCCACCTTGTCGCCTCATCTCTTGCTCCCTGTGCTTTGTGCTCTCCCAATAAACCAGCCCTCCCCACGGCACCCTGTAATGCCTTCAGAGCACTGCCGAACCAGATGGGGAGAACTCCGCGGGTGCATTGCCTCTGGGGGCTGCTGCTACATCATTCCCCAAAAGGCCTTTTTGAAAACCCATAAAGAGAAGGCCATGTAAGTGCGCGAGGTGCTGAAGGAGCAGGTCGAGCCAAAGTTCTGGGAGTTTCTGGATGTTGCCATCGAGGAGCTCAGAGATCAGACTAGAAGATCGTTTATATCTTTTTGGGGTCTTAGGTTGCCATGCAGGGAAAAAAGGGGGGAGGGAAGAGGGAGGGCGGTAAATTCTTGCAGCCCGGAAGTGCGACTTGCACCACGAGTCTTCGAGTCTTCGAAAGCCGGCGCCTTCTCTGGGCCCATGTCGGGATCTGAATCTTGAGAGCCGTGCACCCCGGCATCCCCCAAAAAACGCCCCCCCCCCCAACAAAGCCCTATAGAAACCCAAAGCCAAGCGCCGGCGCCAGGAGCTCAAGACGCAAGTCACCCAGGTCTTCAGGAACATCGATGACTGCCCCACCTTCAGCATGGAAGGCGCCAAGAGCTGGCCCCCACGAAGGGGGGGGGGAGCCTCAAAATCCTGGGGGGGCGTCTCAAAAGTCTCCCTAAAGGCCCTAAACGCATGGGTATTTCCCCAAAGAGGGGGTACCCTTAAATATACCCCCCCCCCCCAAAAAAAATCGTAGAATCCTGTTACCCCAAAAGGGTACCCCTGCTTTCGGAAGCCCCCCCGCGTCTTAGACTCTCTTGTGCCAAGGCATGACGGTTTCTTTCGGTGACCTCTCCATGCCGAAGGTACCATCGTTCAAGGCCAGACAGAATCCAGGGTTTTGGGGTTTAGGGTTTTGGGGTTTGGGATTTAGGGTTTAGGGTTTTGGGGTTTAGGGTTTAGGGTTTTGGGGTTTAGGGTTTAGGGTTTAGGGCTGGTTCAGGAAGCGTCCTGCTGGCCATGGATGCAAAAGCAGGCTAGCGAAAGATGTAGCCCGACTGGGTACTTTTCCTTTTTCTTTTGGGGGGGGAGGCGTAGACCCACCCACGCCACCTATCCGCACCCACCACTCCTCGACCCATAAAAAAACACCGACCACAACCCCTCTACCAGCGGCCACAAGCCGTCAGTGCCCAAAATGAACCATATCAGAATCATAACGGCAGCGCGCCACAAGAAGAATACGAAGAATACGGAGAATAAGAAGAATAGGAAGAATAGGAAGAATAAGAAGAATAAGAAGAATAAGAAGAATAAGAAGAATAAGAAGAAGAAGGAGAAGGAGAAGAAGAAGAAGAAGAAGAAGAAGGAGAAGGAGAGGGAGAAGGAGAGGGAGAAAAAGAAGAAGAAGAAGAAGAAGAAGAAGGAGAAGGAGAAGGAGAAGGAGAAGGAGAAGGAGAAGGAGAAGGAGAAGGAGAAGGAGAAGGAGAAGGAGAAGGAGGAGAAGGAGAAGAAACCAAGACAGGAAAAAGTGAGCCAGAGACCTGTGAGGTCCAGCTCTGGGACTTTGCCTTGAAGTTGATCTTGGACGGCAAAGATAGATTCAAGAAAGTCCTCGACTCTCTCAAGGACAAGCTCCGGACACTTGGGTCTCAGTTTCCTGGTCATACTTGTGGGTTGTGGCGAAGGCAGAGTCGGGTTTAGGGTTTAGGGTTTAGTGTTTGGGGTTTGGGGTTTGGGGTTTAGGGTTTAGGGTTCTTGGGAGTACAGTTGCCCGAGTTTAAAAGGTGGAGTATCTGCCGCTGCCACACATTCCCGAACCCTCAACATCGGGATCATCGGGACCTAGATCCTTTGGGAAGTTGGAGTTTGCAAAGCTTGCGTTGCGCCATGTTCATCGTGGGGGCCAGAATGTCTCAACCTTTGCGCCCCCTCAACCCGACACCCCTCACCCCGAAGCCCACAGCCGAAGCCTTAAACCCTCACCCTAAACCCTAAACCCTAAACCCTAAACCCTAAACCCTAAACCCTAAACCCTAAACCCTAAACCCTAAACCCTAAACCCTAAACCCTAAACCCGGAGGTTACTGTGAGCCTTTTGAGACCCGGCAGTCTGACATGCACACCCTGACCCCTGGGATCCAAAGATGGATCCCTTCGTGGGGGCTTAAGAATTTACCCACTAGTAGAAGAGGGTTTAGGGTTTAGGGGTTAGGGTTTAGGGTTTAGGGTTTAGGGTCTAGGGTTTAGGGTTTAGGGTTTAGGGCTACTTCGATCCTCCCCGAAATCTGGGTAAGGAAAGTCATCAAGAAAGCCGTCGAAGTCCTGGAGCGCACCGTGCCGGACGCAGTGGAAGACAAGCTTGCGATGCTGGGTTGTGTTTTTTGGGGGTTTAGGGTTTAGGGTTTAGGGTTTAGGGTTTAGGGTTCAGGGATAGTTTTAAGTTTTCCTTCTTTCCTTAGTAAGGGAGCCACTTCACTTGCACAACTCTCTCAGAAACCGGGGGTTTAAAAAAAAGCGCAGCTCAGGACCGTGAGTCTGCCAAAGGCCCGGGCCCGAGACTCCAAAATTGGATAAACTCCGCCGCTTCTCTGGGGCTCTTCGAAGCTAAGGCCTTTTAGGACATGGGGGGCTCAAGAAGGGTTTAGGGTTTAGGGTTTGGGGTTTGGGGTTTAGGGTTTAGGGTTTAGGGTTTAGGGCATCTGAGTAAGCTTTTAAAGAGGCCAAGGCAGGCAGAGTCTTCTCAGCAAGCTGGTTTTTTCTCGGAGTCTTTGCGAAGGCGGACCTCGATGGCATCAAGGATGCGCTCAAGAAGCTCTTGCGGGGGCTGCAGACGCATGGGCGAATGTTTGGCAGATGCGGTAGAATGCTACACCCTAAGCCCTAAGCCCTGAGCCCTAAGCCCTAAGCCCTAAGCCCTAAGCCATGTGCTGAACGCAGCAGCTGTGTGTGTGTGTGTGTGCTTCCATCTTCGGAAGCAGACGTGGGTATGCGACACTCTGTGTCTGTGTGTGTGTGTGTGTGTGTGTGTGTGTGTGTGTGTGTGTGTGTGTGTGTGTGTGTGTGTTTTCTGAACTCCCACGACACCCCAACCCTACGCCTCAAGCCTTAAGCCCAAAGATGTCAGACCCTAAGCCCTAAACCCCAAACCCCAAACCCCAAAAATCCTAAACCCCAAACCCGAAACCCTAAACCCAAAACCCTAAACCCCCTAAACACCCCTAGAGATGTCAGCTGAAAAGGATGAAGAATCCCTTCTCCACCCCAGCGGGCGAGCCTGGTGGGCTCTGGGATGGCTTCGAGCTGAATCTCCGTGTGCGGCTCGAAGGCAAGCTGGTCCTTTGGGGCGAAGCTTGGGTGCAAGAAGTCCTTCAAGAAGTGGAAGGGGGTTTAGGGTTTAGGGTTTAGGGTTTAGGGTTTAGGGTTTAGGGTTCGGGATTGGTTTGGGGGTCAGGAGTTTGACTTCTGAAGCATTCGCAAGTGTCTGCCAAGGCCCAAGCATCCCTCGGTAGGCCCGTTGGGGCATTTGGTATTTTCCCCTGTTGGGTTTAATCAGGATCGTGTTCCCGATTATTTTTTCAGAGGCTTTTTTAAGGGCCATCCTAGGCCTGTTCCAAGTTCCAGCCTCTTTTTTTTTTTTTTTTTATGATTCTCTCTCTCCATGATTCCATGACTCCGCAATGTGGGGTCGGAGTCCTCGTGACTGTCCTTTTCCCATCTTGACGTGTTTCTCAACATTGAAATCGGCGCATGGCTCCTTTTCGGATCTCGCGCTCTTGCTTTGCCAGGGTCGGCGTGTCAACAGCCACAGGAATAGTGGCGCGCATTGGGTCCCGATCCGCTCAACTGTTCTCCTTGTCGGAGCTTTTTTCTGACAGTCACGCCACTGTCATCGTTTTCGGATCCGGGGCAGGTCGTCACATCTCAAGGGTGTCAGCAGTCCCAGCGCGACTCGGGATCTTCTGACTAGGAAATACTCCCTTGCAGGAAGTTGGTATCAAATTGTTTTCGGGTACCCAAGTCATCCTTTATCAAGGTGACCCTTCAACCCTGAACGCCTTGAAGCTTCAACCCCAAACCCCCTTCAAAGCAAGCAACATGTCGCACATTCTGCAATACTTTGCAAGTCTGTAGTCGACAGCATACGCGCTATCGCCGCGTAGCATGATCGTGCACTTTCGCAATGTGCGTCTTCAGCCAGTGTACCCGTTTGCATTCATTGAAGGGGATTGTGCTTGATTGTATTCTCCCCCTTTGTTGCTAATGTACAGTGAAGATACCTCAAAACCTCAGTAGCCTGTTCGGACATAGGGTTTGCTGCTTCTACCCAACCTTTTCCAACCCCAAGCGTCTGATCCCTTTGGGTTTTAACAAACCCTGAACCCGAAACCTGAAAAAATCCTCCTTGCGTCTTGAAAGCAAGGATGGGTCCGCTCTTATCCCACCCAATTTGTGGGACCAAGCGAAGACGTTTGTCTTGGGACACACCGGGGGTGCCGTGAAGTTTCTTGTGGACCAGGCTCGGATCCCTGGAACCTTGTGCTGGGTTTAGGGGTTAGGGATTAGGGTTTCGGGTTTGGGTTCGACACTCTTGAGCAGATCAGTGTGCATTGATCCCGAAGATAGGGCTTTGAGCAGGGCAGCAGAAACACACAATCAAGATGTGGCTTTCCCCGCGTGCTCTCTGCCTGTTCTCCATGAAGCTCTCGGACGAATGCTGAGTAGAGACCGATTCAACAGAACCGAGCCCCTTTGACTTGATGCGCTCTGGTCTTCTAATTGCTTGACAGAGCTGCTTTGAAAGTTTCTCAAGGGAGTTGGGTAGTGATTCTTGCGATGTTGAGGACCCCTCATGTTGTGCGTTCAATGGTGGTACTTCTCAGCCCATGTTGCAAGAGCTGTAGGCTGTAGGTACGGCTGAACTGACCCGGCAGTCGTATACGGTACTCCCGCCAGCTTCTTCCAAAAAACTCAAACCTTCAATCCGTAGAACACTCAACTACTGTTTGCTTAAGAACCCCCAACAAATGTAAGATCATAATCCCTATATTACCCTTGTAAGGAAAAAGGTTTACTTTTCATTTTTTTTTTTTTTTGGGGGGGGGGGGGGGGGCGGTTCTTAATCAGTTCGTAGTAAACTATGCCTTGGCAGGTGATGGTCTTTGTCACCCCTGCAGTCGCCTCGCTGTCGGACACGTTGCTCATAAGTCCAGGGGGATTAGGCTTTGGGCCTGTAGTGATCCTCCTGAACCGTCAATAAATTAGAAGATAATAATCCCCATATTAACCTTAAAAGGAAGAATCTTTGCATTTCTTATTATAGTGTTTTTTTTTTTTTTTTTGGGGGGGGGGGGCGGGTTCTACAGCAAGTAGTAGAAGTAGTAGTCGTCGTCGTAGTAGTCGTAGTAGTCCTAGTCGTAGTAGTCGTCGTCGTCGTCGTAGTGGTAGTCGTAGTCGTAGTAGCAGCAATACACGAGCCAAGGACCTTCTTGCCGGGAACCTCCCTGGCTTGAACATTGATAAGCTCAGCTCGAAGCTTTGGCTGATGTCGATTTTACTTTCCCCGCATTTCTTTGGAGTGTCTAAGGCCCCCCCAGAAAGTTACCGAATAGGGCTCTTTTGGGTGGCCCAGACATGTTTCAGATGTTGAATGAAACCCGAAATCTAGGGGGCCTCGGGTTCAGGGTTTAGGTTTGTATCTAGGGCTTCAGGAGTTGGGGGACATGTGGCGGGGATCAGGAAGCTGCTGGAGAGTTTCAAGCTCAAGCTGTCCGAGATGGGCAACTCTGTGCTGAAGCACTTCGTCCAGTGCTTCTTCGAGTGCCTCGGAGGCAAAAGGCGAGAGCCAAGAGCCACCCTCAACTGAGGGGGCTTAGGGCTTGTGGGGCATGTCAAAAGGGTCAGTTCTCAAAATCATGGTCTTTCATTTTTCTTGGGTGCCCTAAATAAGAGCTGCCGCCTTGTGAGAAGGACTTTTTTAAAGGGGACCCACAATTTGGTGAAGTGACCAATCGGCTCTTCGGGCTTTGGGCTTCAGAGGGATTTTAGTGTTCAGGGTTTAGGGTTTAGGGTTTGGGGTTTGGGGTTTAGGGTTTAGGGTTACTCTGCAAAAGCGCCTGCGGCCAGAGAGGGCCGGCTCGAGAGGGCCGGGCCGTGTTTCGCCAGGATCCGCTTGGTTTTGAGGCTACGTTTAGGGCTTAGGGAGTTTAGGGTTTAGGGTTCAGGGTTTAGGGTTCAGGGTTCAGGGTTTAGGGTTTAGGGTTTAGGGTTTAGGGTTTAGGGGTTCAGGAGCTGCGCAGCGGGGTAACCGGAAAGCACCAGGCCCTGAGCCCTTCAAACCAAAGCATCAGCAGCCACCTCCAACCCCGACATGGCGTCTCTGACACTCCGCGCATGTTGTCATCATCATTGTCGGAGCACTCGGGCGCGAAAAAAGTCACCCGGAAATCGCTCCCCCTTATACCAACAGTCCCTCATAGGCATAGGGATTATCGTCCCTATCAAGGACTACAGTCCCTGATAGGCATAGGGATTATAATCCCTATTCATGACTGTTGGTATACGGCGGGACCTCCCTAAACCCTAAACCCTAAACCCTAGAAACCCTAGTAACCCTAGTAACCCTAGTAAATCTAGCAACCCTAGTAACCCTAGTAACCCTAGTAACCCTCGCAACCCTAGTAACCCTAAACCCCAAACCCCAAACCCCAAACCCCAAACCCCAAACCCCAAACCCCAAACCCCAAACCCCAAACCCTAAACCCTAAACCCTAAACCCTAAACCCTAAAACCCTAAACCCTAAACCCCAAACCCTAAACCCTAAACCCGTAACCTAGTTCTCTCAGGAGTGTCCAATATGCAATGAGCGGGCAGATGGAGATCATGATCGAGCCGATTACTGCCAGCCTCTCCCTCAGCTTCGACGGCTTCAGTAGAGGCCGAACGTTTAGGGTTTAGGGTTTAGGGTTTAGGGTTTAGGGTTTAGGGTTTAGGGTTTAGGGTTTAGGGTTTCGGGGACATGCCCTGAGTCCCCAACCCGCCGAGAACGCCCCAAAACGATCCCTAAACCAAAAGCAGAAAGGCATACTCCAAGTTACTCCAGGCTACCGAGGTATCACGATTAGACACACACACACACACACACACACACACACTCTACCGAAGCGCACGACTCGGCTTCCCATAGAAAGGCGATAAGACAAACACGGGTCAGAACCCCTCAAGCACGACAGGAACTCGATTGGGAAAACGAGCTTAGAAACACAATTAGAAACGGCGCAACTGTGAGTTATTGGAAGGCTTTGGATCCTAGTTCCGTTGTGCTGACCCCCATGCGTTGCTATGTGACTTGTGATTCGTTTACGTTTTGCTTTGATACTCCAACCCGCTTAGATGGGTTTAGGAGGCAAAAAATCGCAAGGAAGAAACGAATGGCCTGTAGGTGGGGTGGGATCGGGTTGCGGGTGGCGCTGCGGCTCTTGCAAATAGAGTTCTCGTGTTCCATTCTCTGGGGTTGAACCCGGTTACCCGAGTGACCTTGCTTTTGTGTAAGGGGGCAAGGGGAACGAAAGTGACTTGTCATCCCTTTGAGGTTTCGCCTGAAAGTGTTGTGTTTCCTTCATCTCCTTCACCTCCAGGTGCCTTCCCGTGCCCCTGTTTTTCACGCTCCCCCCGAAGCCCCAAGCCCTAAACCCTGTGTGGCTGCTTCTTACTTCGTTGTCTTGAGTCTTGTCCCCCGTTTGCCAAACAATGCCCTTTTTGGCCTTTCAGTGCAGGCGTTGGTCTCGGTTTGACGCGACTCCTTTTGCTTTGTTTGCCTGGAGTTTATGTGGTCATAAGGCGTCACATGCAACACATGTCACATGTCTCATCTTCCCTAAGTGCTGGAAATCCGTGAGCAGACTATGCATGAGGGCTAGGAAAGGTGACTCTCTTGACAAAAAGGTTGCCCTGAAGCATCAAAGCTGTGGGCGCAGGCAGCGAAAGCATGTTCGGCGAGAAGAGCCAATCGCGTGTTCGTCTGACCGGGAACCCGCTCGCGAAGGCCAAGCAGCTGGGCACCAGGCTGCTGGAGGCCATTTCTTACCACGGTTTAGGGTTTAGGGTTTCGGGTTTAGGGTTTAGGGTCAGGGTTTAGGGTGTTCGGGGTTTCGGGTTGCCAGCAGACCATACGACTGTTCTTCGAGTTGTGTTCACTGCTCCTCCTACATAGCTTGTCATGGCGAGTCTGCTGCCGTTGCAAGCCGTCATTGTGGAATCGTTACTGTTGCTACTCTTTCTTTCGTGCTTTGAGTGGCGCAAAAGTTGCCTTCGTCTCTCAGCTCCACGAAGGCGGTGGACGATTTTCCAAGCGTGTCAGCATCCAGGCGTTGAAGATATACGATTCCTTGGCAAAGGTTTCTGGCAGGATCTTCAGTCCTTGCCAGCTTGTCTTGGACACTCTTGCCCGAAAATTCTGACCCGGCCTGAACAGCTCCCCCCCTGCCCCCCCTCAAAAACTGTGCTAATGTGCAAACACAACATTGCACGGACCTTTGGGGTGGGGGTAGCATGTCCATTAAAGTTCCGATGAGCACTGCTGGAGCCTTCTGCACATTGCAGGCGGGGACAGCGAAGCTCGGTGAGCTCAAGACGACTGCCACTCGCCGCGTATGCTGCTGCCACATGAGAAGACAGAGAGAGAGAGAGAGAGAGAGAGAGAGAGAGAGAGAGAGAGTGAAAGAGAGAGAGAGAGAGAGAGAGAGGGAGAGAGGGAGAGAGGGAGAGAGGGAGAGAGGGAGAGCTGGCAAAGGCAAGCGATAAGTCGCCAAGGTTCAGAGCTTTGGCAGCGAGGCCATGAAATTTATCAGTGAGGCCAGGCTTGCCCTGTTGCCACCAGACGAATCCGACAACGCTGTTTTCACAACGGGCTCGTTCCCCTGCTTCATACGAGTTAAGGCTGATTCCGCGTGCCATCAGTGACTACGGCCTTACACCTGAAACTCTCAATCGAGTGGGGCTGGCACCCACAACCCGCCACGACCAGAACGGACAAGGACTGAGGTGTGGGTGCAGGTGCATGAGCAACACCACCAGCAGCAGCAACAATGGCAACATTGACAACAACAAGAAAAAGGTTGCCGAGTTCTCCGAGCTCAACACACAAACACAACCTTGTCTCCGGCTGGTATTTGTGCAGTTACACAGGCGCTGCAAGTCTTGACGCGGCCTTTCACGATGCCTTTACATCCGGAACCTTGCCGCCGCGCCTCGAGGGGTCACTCTGAAGGGTTGCCCCCGCGCTTTGTCCTTTTGTTGTTACCTTTTGTGCCCCGAGCAATTGAAGTCTACGTTTGAATAGGAAACCTCGAAAATTCTCTACATTTCACTAAGAAAACCTCTGACTTCTCTGTTGCAGGAAAACCTCGGTTTTCTCTATATTTCCACAGGACAAATTCTGTCGTCGCTATATTTATTCTTAGGACGGAAACCGATATTTATCGATAGTTTTTTGATAAGAATAGCTTGTATTTCTGGATTTACTCTGTGTATGTTCGTAGGAAAGCCTCTCTTGTCTTGATAATGAAGAGGTTCAAAGCATATCCACCCAAGTTTCGTCTCGCAGCAGGCATGAGTTTGTTGTTGTCGTTGCTCCAACATGGTCGCCGCTTCAACCCAATAGAGAGCCAACCACATGGGACAGCACCACATACGAAGACCGCAGACGCAAGAGACTACAATGAAGCACACTTTGTGGTACTTTACTATAACTTTAGATCTTTAGCCTTTTTGGGCTTATTGGGTTTCTTAGTAAGGCAGCTGGGCAATTTGTGTCAGAACCCGAAAACGCCCCAAAGTGGCGCAGCGAGCTTTCGGAGTAGTTGTGTTGTTATTAGGGTTTAGGGTTTAGGGTTTAGGGTTTAGGGTTTAGGGCTGTTTGTCGGTTGGAAGGACCAGTGGTCCAACAGCAAAGCCCGGAGAGCCAGGTGCCTGGCAAGATCATGGACTGGCTGAAGGACTTGTTGGAGCTCATCCCCTGCGTAGATGCAGATGAGCCTTGGACATCTGCTATTCCTCTTGCAGCATTTAGGGCTTAGGGCTTAGGGTTTAGGGTTTAGGGTTTAGGGTTCGCCCATGATGGACGAGAGAGCCAGGCATATCATCAACATGAGCAGTTGTTGGGAGTTTTTTTGGGAGTTGTGTTTGGGGCATCGAGGGCTGGAGACCGACAATCCCGCTAGGTGCTCATGCCAAAGATACGGGGCGGATCGACCGTCATGCTCAAGTTTGGCTTGCATGAGATGGCGTCGCGTCTGCAATCATCCGGCCTCAGTGGGGGGTGACGCTGAAATATTGGGTTGCGGAGGTTCGTTTCCTTCCCTGTTTTCGTGAAGGCTTTGTGCCTAATGTGAGGATGTTAGGGCTTAAGACGTTTGATGGTTCATGCTTCTAAGGAGCCAAGGAGCTATTTGTTGGATGGTAGCTGGTCCTGCACCTGTCCTGACACCAATCCTGAAGCCCCGCAAAAGATCCCCCCTAAACCCAAAACCCTAAACCCTAAACCCTAAACCCTAAACCCTAAACCCTAAACCCTAAACCCTAAACCCTAAACCCTAACCCCTAAACCCTAACCCCCAACCCTAAACCCCTAAACCCCCAACCCTAAACCCTAAGCCCTCACAGTTTGCAGGTGAAGCTGGCCTTAGAGATGGCCGTAGACAAGGGCACCGAGCTCGCGGAGCTGAAGCTGGTGGGTGAGATCGAGGGGCACAGGTGCGGGCCTCAAGAAGGATTTGGGTTTGGGGTTTAGGGTTTAGGGTTTACGGTTTAGGGTTGAAGGTGAAGGGTTTAGGGTTTAGGGTTTAGGGTTTAGGGTTTAGGGTTCAGGAGGCTCCTTCAGAGAAGCGCTGCAAGAGCGAAGTTCGGAGTTCACACCTTACTTCACCACAACTTCACAACACACGCACACGCACCACACACACGCACACGAAGAGCTCCTCTCTTGTAAAAAAGGCTCCTCTGAAACCCCACTCGCGCGGGTCTCTTCAGGTCGGACTCCCAGCAAAAGCTGGATACGGCCCCTTGGCGCTCGAATTCCTCTATTTGGGGGGATGCCCAGATTGAGCCCCGGTCCTGCACCTGGCAGGATGACGCTCTTGAGATCGTGTAGCACGGGTGGTGGGCGAATGTGGGAGAGCATGGGAGGGCCTCGGAAGTGCGCAGCGCTGTCAAACGCTGTTAGAGGTGTATAAGGGTCAGCCCCAATATTTGGGGGCTCAAAATTGGGCCGAAGAGGGGGCAGATTGTATGTTGGCTTCGACCCCAGGTCCGCAGCTTCTTCGTCGATCCCTTGGATGCCATCGATTTCGACTTGATTCTCGACCAGGCAGCCAGCCATGGTGCTGTCAAAGCATGCAAAGCATATGCCTTCAGCCTCGTGTTTCGGCCTCTTGGCGTACGTTCCCGCCTGCGAAGCCCGCGAAATTGTGTCTTGTGAGGTGATGCCGCCTTCGGACATCTCGGAGGTGTACAAGACTGTTCGTGCTGAAGCGGGAGATGGCTTCAAGGACGCCGTCGGCACCCTCAAGTCTTCCTTCGAGCATGGCGAGGTTGGGCATGCACATGCATGCACCGTCGCTGTGGCTGGGGTTGGTCTGCACTTTCTGCCTTTGGCCAGCGCTCGGGTAGAGGAGAATGTCACGAAAGCTAGCCCCTGAGGAGCTAGCGGAGTATCTTACCTAAGCGAAGCTTACAACCTGAAGGGTATACAGGGCCCCCGGAGGCTCCGCCACGAAACGCAGCAAACCCGGTCGGTTTCCGGGTGGCGAACACAGGTTTTGGGGAAACGGGCTGGCGTTCATTTCTTTCGTATATTGGGTGCAAATGAACGCCGTTTTCTGTGGATCCCAGGCCCTAGAAAAGCCCCCCAAGTCCCCCAAGAAAAGACTCAGAAACCTTGATGTTGATTTGAGTCTGGCGTCCCTCAAAGCTGGATTGGACAGACTTCAGACTTCGCCTGGCGAGTGCAACATCTGTCGTGGTGTCATGCGCTTCAAAAAAGAGCCCTCCGGAAGATGCTAACAGAAAAGCCCCCTAAGAAAAGACTCAGAAGCCCTGATGTTGACTTGAGTCAGGCGTCCCTCAAAGCTGGATTGGACAGGTTCCCCTGGTAAGTGCAACATCTGTTGTGGTGTCATGCGTTTCAAAAAAGAGCCCTCCGGAAGATGCTAAAACACCGCAGAGCAAAGCAACACACCAACACATTGCCAGAAGGAATGCCACGTCAATATTGGCACCTGCGCCAGAAAAAAGGTGACACGACCTGCTGCCTTTGCGTGTGCTTGTCCTTCTGCGTCGGAAGCTCTTCCGTGGGGGTATCTTAACTAGCTTTCGTCCCAGGCCCTCACCCCCAAGTTTTTGCTTCTACCTATGGGACCTGTCCCTTCCCTTATCTGGGGGTTTCGCGCAGGGTCTCGTGGACAAAGTCGCCAAGATCGTGAAGGACTTCACGAGGAACCAGCTGCAGAATGTCGCCAACAAGATCATCATTGAGATCAAGGAGTTCGAGGCACAGCGATGCGATCCTCTGAACGTGTCAGGATGCACCAACACCGATACCGCTGCCGTCTCGGCGGTGCAGTGCAGAGTTACAGTAAGACCCATAGTAGTATTGACCTGGAAGCAGAGAGTTTCCTAAACCTCTATGTAGAGAACTTCCCGCGCGGGCTACCTTGGGATGCTTTGGGTCCCATGCAGGCATTGCCTGCATGTGCGCGGCCTCTTGAAGTGTGTACAGTTCCTTTTCATGGAAGAATTAGTTGGAAGTTGGGGGTTAAAGTCCTCGAAGCTCTGAACTTCATAAACTCCGAAGAAGAACTCGCATCCTAAAGCATCTAATGGCCCTCTCCAGCCCCCACCCGTCCCGTCTCCAGGATGTGGAGGTGGAGTTTCCGCCGGTCCCAAAGCATCGCACCTCAAAAATGTGGGCCAAGATCAAGAAGATGGGGCAGGACGTGCTGATGCAGTGAAATGCTGCAAATGCTTAGGGTTTGACGGATTGTGTTTCGAGTGCTGGGTTCGGGTGCGGAGAGCATCTCACTCATTAAGGCAAAGAAGCATTGCGTGGTTGTTTTTTGTACAGTTTTTGAGCTGCCTTCGTTGCTGGTGAGATTGTCGCGGGGTGGTCTGACTCTGACATCAACTGGGGGTGGTCCACAGGGATCCGGGAACAGCTTTTCGCGGGCTTCCCTTAGCGCGTGAACTTGGGGCCTAGGCAGAGAGACCCCTGCAGGAAGCGAAGAAGGCGCTGTCCACTCACACCGGCCATTTCGCGAAGCTGGGGAAAATGGCCGTCCAGCAGAGAAAGAACCCCAAAAAGGATGTAGGCAGTTGCTTTGTAAGCAAGACCGCCCTGGCACAAGTATGTGAAGCCCTTGCCTGCATCGAGCTTTTGAAACTCTGGCGCCTCCACTTGGTTGTGGCGCCGGCCCGTGCTGTGTGTTCGCAGGTAATATAGGGTGACCCAATGGCCTAAACCCGTCAACATCAAAGCCCCTGGTGCTTCAGCACTCTACCCAGGTATTGAAAGCCTTCATCAGCGAAACGAAGGCCACGGTGAGCCAGAAGATGGAAGCGAGATCACAACAGTTTCAAACAAACTTCATGGAGGCGGGGTCCTGTGATTGCAATTGCGGTCACGTTGTTTTTTTTTTTTTTCTTGTGCTGTGGCTGTCTTCGTTGCCTTGTGCTGCTGGGTTCAAGATTTCATGTGGTTTTCAAGCCATCCCTGCCGAAGCGGTGTTGCCAATATCTCTGTGAGCCGCAAGGCGTGGAAAATAGACCTGCAAAAGCTCGCTGATCTGAAGGATGCCGCGAAGGAGACAAGAACACACTTGTTGCTCCGTGGTTTCCCCACAGTGTGGTTCAAGGATGCAAAGGTACCGCGGCTATACGTAAACAACCAGTTACATATGGTGGGCAGTGGTGGGCAACCACCCGCTTTGACTACAAGCCGGATTGAGGTATAGCACCTAAACCCTAAACTTCAAACCTTAAACCCTAAGCCCTACCTAAACCCTTAGTACTTTTCACCTTGCCCGACTTTGCTCACGAACCTCCAAGTAGGCCTCCTGACCTGTCCCCTTCCTTCCAAACCCCCCAAAACCCCCCCGAAACCCTACGCCCCGAGACCCCGGAACCAACCTTCGAAGTCCCCTTCAAACTCTTAGAAGCCCTGGGACCCTCAACTCAAAATCGCAGGAGATGGCCTTAAAGCCCGAAGCTCAGCGCAGATCCGTTGTTCTGTGCAAAAGTCTGTGAAATTGGGAGAAGGGGACGGCCCGTGGTGCATGCCCTCTCAGCGCACGTAGCACACCGCACACTTGCGGCTCCACGAATGTCTTCCATGCCCTCATTGGGTGTTCCGACACGAATGCAACGACGATTCGCGTCTGCAAGGGGGATGATGTCAGGCTACTGGGGCAGAGGCAGATCCCCAGTCTAACCCGGCTCCATGCCACGTAAGGGGGGCAAAGGCTGGCTCTAGCAGCACAGTGGTTCGAAATGGCAAGATCAGGCAGCAGATCGAAGGAATCGATTTCAGCTCCAGAAGCAAGAAGTAGCGGTGAGAGAAGCCTGGCCGAGCTAGGTCCAAGGTGGGCCAGCTTGGTGGGGGAGAACAGGATGCTGCGTCGTGCGAACAAGAAGATGGCCAGCCGATGCACAAAGAAGAGCCAATGACAACCCGGAGGCATCCGAAGAAATCCATACTCCTCGACACATCATCCCCCCATGCTTCACCGTGCATGTCTGTTCTCCAAGCCATGCTGACAAGTGCACCGGGCCAAAATGGGTCACAGCTGCGCAGGCTGTGCAACATGCCAGCCCGACAAGGGCAGCTCAAACAGTTGCAGCAGAGACTGCATGGAGTTCAAATTTGCATGCCCGTAAGGCTCACGCAAGATTTCATCGTGGAGCCCCTGCTGACCAAGACGACCCAGATGGTCACGGACCTCATTCAGGATTCTGGAGTTCTGCCTGCATTGAGTTACGCGGTGTAGGGTTGGAGGTTTAGGGTTTTGTTTCGGAAGTATGCGGCAAGCTCTTGCGAGGAGTCTCCGCTTTTCATTACCTTAGCACATCTTGAGTAGGTGATGTGCCATCTGTTCATGTGTCACGTCTCATCAGCGGCTCTCTTCGTTTAAAGAGGCCCTTTTCTGGGTTCCCACAAGCCCGGATCTCCAAAATTTTCGGGTGCTCTTACAAAACCCAGAGTAAAATATTTCCAAGGGGTTGGCGACCGCTCAGGTCGGATGTTTCTCTCGGAGGCGAGATCCACACTTGCGGAGGCAAGCTCCTCATTGCTCCCTTAACATTCATAAGCTACTTGCTTAAGAGCCACCCCCCAAAAGAAAACGAACAAAAAGTATCCTCCCTTAGAAGGGACCTTTGGGGTCAATCTTCTTTTTTGGGGAGGGGGTACTCCTAAGCAAAGAGTAGTAGTAGGTAACCCCCTCTGCCTTCCGAAGTTCCGAAGCTCTCGCTCTCAGGCCCCGGTCTGGGGCACGGCCCTCGCCAAGCTCCCGAAAGATGCCGGGGCCAGCGCCGAGGAGCTCAAGGATACCATCATCGATGAGGCCCCCGAAAAGAGTGCCTTTGGGGGTTTAGGGCCTTTTTGGGGTTGAGGGCCTTTGGGGTTTAGGGTTTAGGGTTTAGGCTTAGGGTAGGCGCAGGCTTGTGGCTCCTTAATCGGGAAATAGAACAGGGGGGGGGGTGCTATACACTATACATCCCTTTTCAGGAGCTGCTAGTCTAAGGGGGAACACCCCAACACGTACACCCAGAGGCGGGTTTCAGTGTTGCAGTCACGAAGAAGCATATTGTGAAAAGGGGCAACAAGGAGGCAGAGTGAGACTTAACAATCCCCAAAAAGGACTGCTAGTATACTTCATGAGAACATCTTGAGATGTGATGCCTTATACTAACAGGCGCACCTTAATAGGGATGGTAGGGCCCCCCCCAATTCTTTAGGGCTTAGGGCTTAGGGTTTAACCATCTTTGGAGGTCTTCGTGGCAGCGGAGAAGTCTCTGATGGAGCTCTCCGAGCTGGCCGCGGGCAAGTGGGAGAGCAAGGGCCGCGCGGTCTCCAGGGATCTCCTCGCAGGAAAGATGCCCACGCTGCGCCTCGGGCAAAATTCCCATTCACTCAACTTGGGGTCTTTCGGCTCTTCATTCTTTCTTAGTTTATTATAAATATTTTGTTTTGTGTGTGTGTGTGTGTGTTTTCTTTTTGGGTGGGGGGGCTTGGGCCAAAGGGTTCCCGTTCCCAGCCCAGCTGCACAGACAATGGGTGGCATTTTTGTATCAATCAACTCAACAAAGCGCAGGAAGCCACACTTCCAAGCCTTGTTAAGAACAAGAGAAGAACAAGTAGGGTTTAGGGTCTCAGCCTCCTTTTGCGTCGAGCTGCTACACTTTGCGGTGGTAGAGCTGCGGTTGCGCATGGAACCTATACACGACTGCTTCTACTACCTTGCTTGCATCTCATACTCAGGAATCTGGAATCCATCAAGGCAAGATGGCTTGACATTTGTATCACCTTTGCTACCTGTGCTGTTGAGGGGCATGGCAACGCTGTCGCTGATGGGGTGCAAAGGTCACCCTAACAGGCAGAACGTGTGCAAGCATGCGAACATCGAGCTTCCGTATGCTTCCGTTGTCTGCTCTCGCACATGAGAAGTGCTAGCATAAGCGATCGCAACACGAAAGCTGACAACAGTATGAGCATGTGATTCCACGATCGAAACAGAACACTGCAGTGTGCACTTCCCGCTAGAGACAGGGTCGTTGATGGAACCGTCGTTCTTGCGAGGTGTTCTGCTCTTTTCAGGGTTATGGCTTGAAAAATGCTTGTGTGGATCTGTCACGATCTGTCCAAGCTACTTCTGGCAGAGCGCATTTTGAGACCAAGGAGCAGAGTGTCTGCACAGGAATCTTGCCAACGCCCAACATCTTTGCGCCGCAGAATGCGCCCAAGAGCAAATCGCTGTAAAATGCACAGTGTTTTTGGGGGCATGCTCACAAAAGGCCTAAATATGAACGCTTGCGTGTTCCAGACACGTCGCGCACATCCTTGTGGCGTCAGCATGGTCCTTGCTCCATTGCCCCGCACCCTTCGTTGCACCCTGAGACCGGCAGGCAGCCGCCCGGACAGCGCGCAGGAGCACGGGGACCAGCACGAACGATGTGTCCATCATGAGCAAGCTCAAAGAGGAGATACACAAGCTGGGCGAAAAGGCCAAAGAGGAGCGCTCTTGGGGGGCCGTCAATCATGTGTGGGGGGAGCTTTCGGCACTAAGTTCAGCTGCGACGTGCCCAGCACAGGTCTTCGAGGATGGAAAGGATGACCTCAAGCCCGTCGAGGAGGAGGTCAAGGCCCTGCTGAAGGAGAAGGCCCCCCCCTCGTCATAAGGGCGCATAAAACTTCAAAAAAAGTTCTACAGAGCTCGCATAAAACACCACGCCACACCGCGGGGCCAACTTCATCATGGTGTGTTGAAGTCAGAATGCCAGTGGCAACAAGTAGTATCAGTCAGCGTTGCAGTAAGGTTAGGCAGCTCGAGGAGTGGGAGTAGCGCAAGCTGTCAGAGCATGAGGATCACATGATGCACGCGGAGTTTATCAGCGAATGCTGAGGTGCAGGAAGCTCGTGAGGACCTGAAGACGAAGTTGCGCCTGAAGCTGGAGAGCATCCGCGACGAGGTGGCCGGCGCTGGCATCCCTCTCACGGAGGAGGACCAGGAGAAAATCATCGAGATGGTGGACGAGCACGTCCTGAAAAGAATTGAGAACCTGGACAGCTTTCCAAAGCTGCACAAGGCAGGAAAACAGATCTCCAAGGTGACGAAACACTTGGATGGCAAAGAGATGCAAGGCGTCTTGATGGAGCAGGCGAAGGCCATGCTGAAAGCGCAAGCCCAACGCGTCATGACCGAGGCAATCGAGCGGCTGAAGCCCCAGGCGCGGGGGGAGAAGAAGCATTCGAAGCGCGCCCGAAGCGAGCCATACCCTACTCCAAAGCACTTATACTTGTTCTTCCCCCCCTCCCCCCCCCAAAAAAAAAGGATCACTAAACAAAAGCCATATGGGAAGCAGCCAACTTGCAGCCTCCCACGAGAGGTGAAGCAACGCCTGGTGCAACTGGCGACGGAGGTCGTGCTGGACATGACCGGCCTCGGAGGGGACGGGAACGACCCGGGCGTTTCGAAAGTCTTGAACGACTTGCTGGAGTTCTTCCCCGAAAACGAGACAGGCGCGCATGTGCACGCATCTCTCTGTGTGTGTGTGTGTGTGTGTGTGTGTGTGTGTGTGTCACAAGACAGCAACGCCCTGAGAAAACCAGCCTGCAACACCGAACCTCCCCAACTGTTGAACCGCCTGCAGTTGCCGCCGCGGCTGCCGCGGCCGGTGCCGTTGCCAAGGGCGTCAAGGGTGCCGCTCAAGGTGGCAAAGCGGGTGGCAAAGGTGGCGCTTCTGGGGGCGCGGGTGCCTACTTCAGCACGGGTGGCCTCATCGACTCCATGAAGAAGAGCCCAGGTCCGCAGGAAGTGCCCCAAAAGATCCGGAGCCTCCAGTAATCCCGGAGGCCCCATCAAATCCCCCAAATCCTCACATTTTCTTGCAAGGAAGGAAGAAGTGAATGATTTCAGGCTCAGTGGTTCGGAAGGCTCATGTTGGGGATGCTTTCTTGAGCAAGCTTAGATCCCGAATTGATTTCACAAGAAGATGCCCCCTTGAGCCCAGCCTTTTTCCCCTAAACGCTAAATCAACCCTAAACCCTGCACCCTACACCTTAAAACGCTAAGCCTAAACCCTTGTCTCTTATAAACCCTAAACTTTAAACTCTAAACTCTAACCCTTTTCCCTTTTCCCTTTTCCCTTTTCCCTAAACCCTAAACTCTAACCTAAACCCTAAACCCTAAACCCTAAACCCTAAACCCTAAACCCTAAACCCTAAACCCTAAACCCTAAACCCTAAACCCTAAACCCTAAACCCTAAACCCTAAACCCTAAACCCTAAACCCTAAACCCTAAACCCTAAACCCTAACACCTAAACCCTAAACCCTAAACCCTAAACCCTAAACCCTAAACCCTAAACCCTAAACCCTAAACCCTAAACCCTAAACCCTAAACCCTAAACCCTCAACCCTCAACCCTAAACCCTAAACCCTAAACCCTAAACCCTAAACCCTAAACCCTAAACCCTAAACCCTAAACCCTAAACCAGTCCCAGATCCCCAGGATGGTGAAAGGAAAGGGCCTCTCCAATATCACGTCGAAGGCCAACGAGGTGGGGGCGATGACCCGCTTAGGGTTTAGGGTGCGGAGCTGCAACTGGTATTGTAGAAAAGAGTTAGTGTTGAGAGTTGGAAGGGTTAATGAACCCGGAAATCATGTTTGGCTCAAGATGGGCTTGAACAGAAAGCCACAAGTTCAAAAAGTAGTGCCTGGGTTCTTAGGGTTAGGTAAGGGTGTGGATTCCTTCCCCCTTTCCTTCCCCCCTGGGTTGCTCTTATCCGTGTTCTTGTTTGTTTCTTGGTTCGATCTGGGGAATATAAGTTCAGGGCGATTAGGGGAGTTGATTTCCTTCCTTGGTTGTCCCCCCGTAGGTTATGAGCCCAAATTAGGTTCCCTGCGGTTGAGTGTTGTCTTAAGATCTTTGGGATCAAGAAGCAATGCCTTCTCCGAAGCGATGGCTCCAACCTGCCTCGGATGGTGGACAAAATGGTGGAGCTGGAAATGGTGCAGCTGAGTCTCTGGGTGAAAGATCGGTGTTGGAAGAGGTGATTCCCGGCGCTGAAGAACATCTGGAAGAAGCCTTGGTTGCAGAAAGCCCCAATGTGGGTATGAATCCCAATGTGGATATGGTTAGCAATACTGAAGCTGAAGGACGTGCTGTCTCTGTATCGCCAAAGCCTGGTGAGAAAAGGAACTGGGACGCGACTGGTGGTATAGATCGTGAAATGGAGGTGACTGTTTTACGAGTGTTGCACAAACACGGGTATCAGCCGTCGACTTCGACTTCGGGTCGAGTGGTAGACCAAGAGTCTCAGACCGATCTGATTGGAGAAGTGCTGCAAGCGGCCAGGAGGCCTCTGAACAAGATCAAAAGGGATCTATCTTCGAGTTCCCAAGGTGGTGGAAGCGGTCACGAACAGAAGGGTGCGGACAGCTTTGAAGCTGCACCTGCTGCTGAATACGCCATGGGGGAGGAGGAGATCCTACAGATGGAGGCTGAGAGGTTGCGACAGTTGTCAGAAGAAGAGGACGAGATGCGTCAGGTCTCTGAAAGGGATGGTTTTCGGAAAGATGAGCATCTGATCAAAGCGTGCGATGGGACAGCGTGGGAATGGCACCTCCATGAAGATGGGAGACAATATTATTACTGCCTGGATACGCAGGAAAGCAAGTGGACTTTGCCGGTGGTAGGTGAAAAGATGAAGAGTGACGAGGTGGTTGGGTCTCCGTCGGGCAATGAGCTGGAAATGGAGGCGGCGCTGGATTCTTCATCCTCTACTCCGAAGACTGAGTCTACGAGGGCACTCAACATCTGGATCGGGAAGGAATGGGAGCGCTTTCTGAGGGTGTGGCAGCGGTGGAATCGGTAGGTCCAGAAGAAAAAATTCCCAATGTGGAGATCGGAACTGTGTCGGCTGCAGAAGAGCGAGTGGTGGATGTGGTACCTGTCGTTCAGGAAGGTGGTCCTGGAGATTCGGAAGACGGAGGGAAAAGGTCGTGTGTTGCGACTGAGGAGGTCTCTTCGTTTGGTGCCAAGATTCCTGCCATTCAAGGGGAAAAAGAAGCTTCTGGAATAGCTGGAGACACGGAAGATCTGAAAGATGAGGCCTGGAGCGCCAATGATGCGCGGGTCGATGCGCCAGATATTACCTGGAGTGCGAAGGAAGCACGGGTTGAGGTGCATATGGTGTTACGTTCCACGGGTGACTGCAACAATGGGGCGCAGGTCTCCGCAGCAGCTGATGATGGAGGTTCACAGGTGGACGCACTGGTGCAACCTGAAGTTAGCCGCGAGGAACGGAATAGCAAGGGCTACACCGGAGCCGATGAGGCAGCTGTGGTCAACGATGGTGGAAATTCTCCTTTGGAAACCATGGAACCAAAGGAGCCTGCGGTGGAAGAAAGTGTGCCTGCCGTGGATGATCAACTCAATCGCCCTGCAGTGGAAGAAAATTTGCCTGCTGCAGAAGGTGTGACAAAGGACTCCAATGATGGGTCCACTCCCATGAAGGGAGAAGTGTTGCCGTCTGGAAGTTTGCCGGAAGTCGACACCGAGCGAACTACAGCAGATGAGGCAAAGCCTTTGGCGGAGAAAAAGGGAGGTCCTGAAATCCAGGAGCACAAAAAAGATGAGCCTGTGGGACTCGTGGAGCAGGACGAGCAGTGTGACCCAAAGGTGAAGGCAAATGATGCGCCAGGAGCCGATGATACAGAGGTGGTTTCTGAAGAGCATGTAAAGAAAGTGCCCCGAGCGGGAGCCTTGGAATCACCTGGGAACCATTGCTATCAAGAGGGAGATGAGATTATGGGTCTAGTGCGCTGCATCAATGGGTATGGAGCCTTTTTGAACCTTGGTGATTTGAATGTATTGATTCCTGCAGAAGGGAACAATACGTGTCAGTTCAGCTTTGGTGATACTGTCAATGGAACAGTGAAACGAGTGGAAGATGATGGTACCATAATCTTGGACACCTTTCTGGTTTTGGAAGAGGACGTGGAGGACTCTTCCTCGACGCTGCGGAAATGGAAACCCAGCGGCTGGAGTACGTGGTGGACGGATTCATGGTATGCTGGTCAATGGTACCAAGATTCCAACGGTCAATGGGACTGGAAACAGGAGGAAGAGCAATCCGATGAAGGGCTTGTGGTACAGGAGTTATCCTCAGAAGAACGAGAGGAAAGGCAACTTTATGGAGAAAAGATCTACAAAGCTCTTCTGGAGAATGGAAACGAAGATGAGGCCTATGTTGGCAAAATCACTGGGATGCTGTTGGGTCGCCCGATGGAAGATTTACAGGAGTGTGTTGCAGATCATGCATTCCTCAATGCGGAAGCTCGGCGCGCGTATGGCGTCTTGCAAAATGATGGTTGGAAGCCTGCTGGTACAGAAAGCACAGGCTTGGGGAAGTTAACCACTTTTTCCCGAAAACAGTACCACAACGCGCTTTTCGAACTGGCATGCAGAAAAAGGAGATTTACTCGACCAGTTGTGGGTGAGGCGGTGGCAACGGTGCTGAATCAAGGGGAAGATGAGTTTTGGAACGCGCTTCGGTTGGACACCAAGCTATTTTTGCAGGAGCTTGATGGTGCCGTGCAATCCATGAGCAAAAGGGAGAACAAGCCAATGGAAGCCTACATGGACCCTGACCAGTACAAAAAGGCTCACATGACTCCAAAGACTGTGTTGTCACCTGGATACAGCAAGCTGTGCAAGTTCTTCAATCGGGGAAGGTGTCGCAATGGTGATGAGTGTTCCTATGAGCATCGTCGTTATGGTGAGGGTTGGCCAGGAGGAGGGTCAACTGATCCAAAGAATAGCCAAGAAGCTGATGATGAGGATGGGAACATCGGTGACCCTCCCACAGAGGAAGGTACAGTGGATGAGGCACAGCAGGAGCGGGAGGATTTGGCCTTCCGGGCCAAGTGCAATTTTGGCAAAGGTGCATCAAAGGGTGAACCTACGTCGGGTGAGCCAAAAGGTCGTCTGTGTCTGTATTACAATCAGGGTGGTTGTAAATATGGGACTACATGCAGGTATCTTCACAACGATGACATAGCATTGGAAGGGACTTGGGAGCCCGGCAAATCTTGGGACAATGCTTCCAGGAAGGCACTAAGGGACGCAGGGTTCCACCATTGCTGTTTCGATTATTACCTCAGAGGACGTTGCCGGAAGGGGTCAAATTTCTGCAAGTACTCCCACGACGAGATGTCAGAGGAGCGGCTGACGCTCCTGAAACACTTGGTACAGGTGGCCAATCAGGTCCGGTTTGAAAAAGAGAGAGGATGGGAGATTACGGAAAGAAGCACTTTTCAGCCACCTGCAAGTGGGGGAGCTGAATCTTCCTCATCCTCGGCACCAAAAGCGCTGCAGATGACCAATGTGTCACAAAAAGAAGGTGAAAAAGGTATTCTGGATGAAGCAGAAGCTGATGAACAAAAGAATTCGGTGGCTGAATCCACTGGTACTCGGCGCAAAATCCGGAGGAGCCAATTGAAAATTGGATGGCTCGCAACGAACACCTGTGGGTGTATACTCCTCATGTAAGTGAGGTGATGATTACGCTTGGTGTGACCAATGTGTCGGACTTGCAAGAGTTCATCTTTGTGGAAGATTTGGTTGACAAAGGGATCAACAAAGTGACCGCATGCAAAATTCTGCAATTGGTTGGTGATGTCCGATATCGCCCGGGAGGACCGGAAAAAGCAGTTCCTTCTGATGCATCTGTACGGGTACAACAATCTTCTGGGAACAAAGGAACTGGAAGAGCGGCGGTGCGAACCCTCACTCAGGTGCGTGAAGCTGAAGACTCCGGTGCAAAAACCATGCCGAGAGGCTCCTATCGGGAGCTTTTTGATAAGGTCAGGTACCGTGATGGTTGGACGCTTGCGCAGAGGTCTCCGTTGTGCGTACAGAAGCTGCGGTTGGTGGGAGTTGGAATGCCGCCGGTGAATCCACCAACAAAAAAATATCGGTCAAGATCAAACCCTGTGAGAAGGGGAAGGCCCTTGCTGGACAAAAAACAGGTGCGACAGGTGCCACGCTCTCGGTCACAACGACGAGTGCAACCGGCGGAAGTGGTGGAAAAGCCGAAGCCACTGGAACTGAAGCCTCGTGGTGGGTTGTCGTATCGGTTCAGCAGAGCGTGGGCAGATGTGGTGGATGATGATGAACAGGCGGAGGCCTTGGTCTCGTATGCCGCTTCCTCAAGCGATTCAAGCGAAGAGGAGACCAATGCCGCGCAACGCCTGAAGGAAATCTTTTTGCAAGAAAGGGATTCACAGAGAACTGCGAATCGTGGCAATGTTCCGCAAAGTGGTTCTTCAGGCTCCAATGACGGGCCGAAAAAATCGGTTCACCTTGGCGAAGGGCGCGACAAAGCGTCGCGGGGGGAGACCCGCCAAGAAGTGACTTCACAAGTTTTTTCGCTACCACAACCTTCTCGTCGAGCTGAACGGTCTCAAAAAAGAGCAAGGGATGGTTCAGTTATGGTTGGTTCGCTGGCGGTGGGCTCCACGGATGAGGTTTTACCTGGGCAAGGTGTTGCTGGA